TCGGGGCTGAGCTGCTCCTCTGCCCCCATGTTCCACACAGTCCTGTGCTAGCAAAAGGAGTTGGACACACATGGGAGAAAAGTCTGTATTTGCTCCATAGCTGGGCTCTGCCCAAGCCCCAGCTGTGGAAAAGGCGTCAAAAACTCTGTCCTGGGGAGTGCAGCTCCAGCAACACTGCAGGCAGCAATGCTGCAAAGTCTTTCATGATACAGAAGGCACCAAATGTGGGCAGGGCCATGCAGGCCTACCCCACAGGCACTGGGGTCCAACACTGCTCTGCCCCCTGCCCACTGTCTGCTTCTCCCCCATCGCTGCCCCTGCTAGCCAGCCAAGGCCCCACAGCAGGGACACATTTGTCCTGTCCCTCTCCAGTGTCCCACCAAGCTGTGAGCACTGGGGCAGCCCAGGTTTCCTGGGACAGGCTCAGGGCAGCTGGGCAGAGCTGAGCACAGAGCATGGTGCTGGATGGGGCACAGCCTCTCCCCACCCATCTGCCAGCTCTTTGTCCATGTGCCAGCCCCTCTGGGGGCACATCCTGCCCATGCAGAAGAAGGAGTGGACCCAGGCTGGCTGAGGGCCACCAGGGCCACTGTGCCCCTCTTCCAGGACACAGCCATCAGGCCAGAAGCCCAGATGTGGGAGGGTGCAGGGGCTCTGTCCACCCTCTCAGGGGGAAGCTCTGGAGGCAGAACCCAAAGTCACGCAGGCCCAGCCAAGCTGCGCCGCAGGGCTCTGGGGTAGTATTTGAGGAACAGCTTCCTGGAGATCTCCATCGTGTCCCCAGCTGGCACAGCTGGGTAGCGCTTCTTGTTGTAGATGAAGCCTCTCTCCACTTGGAAGACAGCCTGGTTGAACTGGTCCTGGTGGAAGGGGCGGCCTGAGTTGAGGCTCTCCACCAGCACAGAGACGAAGAGGCTCCAGCGCACAGCGTAGTAGTCCAGCACCAGCCCCCCCAGCTGCTTGTTGGCATAATCCAGGATGTTCCCGCTGGGCCCCCAGAGCGTCACCTGGTTCCGGGCATTCAGCTCATACTGCTCGGCCTCCCGCTCACTGGTGGCCACGGCACGGGCGCTCTCCAGCCAGCGGCCGAGCAGGAAGAGGCCGTGGCTGGACAGGAGGCTGTCCAGCTCTGGCAGCAGGTCGTACACCAGCACGCCGCCGGCCGCCAGCAGCTCCGGCAGCGCGTGGCTCTGGAAGGCCTGGCGGATGCTCAGGTAGTAGTCGCTGACCAGCTGCTGGGCTGCCTGCCGCGTCACATCCACCAGGTCGTAGAGGAAGGTGGGGCTGGAGCCCAGCTCGGCGCCGGCGCTCAGCAGCAGGCGCCAGGCCTCGTACACGTCGCTGGCGTTGTACCAGAGCTCCGTGTCCATGCGCAGCGAGGGCCGGCGCACCAGGGGGCTGCGGTTGTGGTTGACGCAGACGCCGGTGCAGTTGTAGACGCTGCGCAGGAGCAGGCGCCAGGCGCCGGCTGCGGCGGCATTGGCAGCGCCGTAGCGGCGCTCGGCGTAGCGGGTCACCCAGCTGGGCAGGTCGAGGGGCTCCTGCCGCCAGCCCAGCTCGTTCATCAGCTCATAAACCATGTCGTTCTGCTCGATGCCCTCGGGCACCAGCCCCGTGCCCACCATGGTGGAGTTGGGGAAGCGCCGAGCTGCGAAGGGGCCGTGGTTGATGGCCTCCACTGTGCCAAAGAGGCCGTGGTTGCCCCCGAAGTTGTGCAGCATGCACCAGATGAAGGGCTGCCCATAGAAGGACTCTGTCCACTGGTAGACGGGCTTGGACTCAGCAAAGAGGTCGAGAACAATCATCCTGCCAAGGGGCACTCCGTGCAGCAGGGCCCGCACCTGTGCTGGCTGCCAGAAGTCAGGCTGGTGCTGGAAGAGCCAGCCCTGCATCAGCCACAGCGCCTTGGGGTCAGCTGGGGACAGAAGAGCACAGTAAGATCCTCTCCAGGCGTCCTCCACAGGTGTCTCATGAGGCCCTGGGGCCACTAACCACCCCTCAAGGGGGTTTTGGGATCTGGCACCAATGGGTTCTGCGCTTGCATGGGGCCCACAGCCACCTCCCCCAGCCCCTGCTATCCCACCTGGACCCTTGTGGCCAGGCCAGCACCACACACGGACCCACCTCCTGTCATCGACCTGAAAACAGCATTGCTGACTCTGGACAGATAGGCAGGGTCGGAGGAGAGGGGGGTCATCTCGTTGAAGGTGTCTGCACTATAGACGTGGTCTGTGCCAAACTCCTTGATCAGCTCCTTCAGGAAGAGGGTCCCGATCACCTGGAACATGGGGTCCTCCGGGTCCAGCAGGTAGATGCACGAGTAGGCACAGTCGAAGTGGCTCCAGTGCCCCAGGCGAGTGGCATTCACACGTGGGAAGACCCTGCAGGAGAGAGCAGAGATGGGGATCAGGAGCAGAACAGGACAGCACCACGGTGCCCATGTGGGGACAGGGCAGCCTGCCGGGGAAGCACAGAGGGAGGTGCTGGAGATCAGACCCCGGGAAGGGCCCAGGGCTGAGCCCCCGGGGCAGGGGCTGCACCTACCGAAGGATCCCCTGCGGCACGTGGCCCGCGAAGGCCGGCAGCACCGTGGTCATCCCCAGCGAGCGCATCCGCTCCACGATGCGGTACTGGGAGAGAGAAGGAGAGAAGGAACAGAAGGAGAGAAACCCCCACGTTCCCACGAGGGCACCCCGGGCGCTGCTGCAGCTCGGGGCGGAGCGGGGGGCTCCCCGAGGCTGAGGAGGGCAGCCTCGGCCAGGAGGACCAGGGGGTGACAGGGGTTTGCCCCCGGTACCTGCAGGTAGAGCTGCTTGAAGTGCCAGGCGGGCGGCAGCGGCCCGGCCCAGCGGCGGAGGTTGCCCATCCTGTTCCAGGCCAGGAACGCGGGGCCCGTGAAGTACTTGTCGATCTCCGACTGGTTCAGCCCCAGGCTGCGGTAAACCTGCGCCGGGGGTCAGCCTGTCCCACGGCTCCCGACACCGTCCCGCTCCCCGCCGCCCCTCGCCCCGCTCCTCACCCGCTGCCAGACCGCCTCCTGCCCCGCGAAAGCCGGTGCCAGGTTGATGCCGCTCAGCGCCATCCAGTCGATCTCCCGCTCCCAGCGCGCCCAGTCCCACCAGGCGAAGGAGTAGCTCTGGGCGCAGACGTTCTGGTAGTAGCGGTACCTGCGGGAGCGGCGGAGGCTGCGCCCGGGCCCCCCTTACATAACAGCGCCTTGTCCCGCGCTAACGAGGCGTGAGCGGCGCCCGGCCCCGCGGCCCCGTTACCTGCCGGGGGCGGCGGCGCGGATCTCGGCCCGCAGCCGGGGCAGCGGGTCTGGCAGGTGGAGCTGCGCCCCGGACCACGACAGGTGGCAGCCGCAGAAATCGCGCAGGTAGCGGTAGAGCCCGGCGGCCGCCGCCACGCCGCTGGAGCCCGCTACGGCCACGGCCACGGCGGCGCCGGGAGGTGACCACAGCCGGTAGACGTCAGGCCCGCCGGCCGCCAGCGCCGGGTCCACCGACAGCGACACGGCGGCGGCCCGCGGGCGCCTCCTCCTGCCGCGCGTCCGCCGCTCGCCCCGCCGTCGCCGCCAGCAGCAGCAGGAACGGCAGCGCCAGCCCCGGTACCGGGCCCGGGCCCGGTTCAGGTCCCGGTTCCGGTCCCCGCCGCACCGCCATCGCCGCTGCCTGCCCCTGCGCCGGTCCCGCCTCTCCCGGTACGGCCCCGCCTCTCCCGGCCCCGCGGCTGGGCGGTGCCGGCGGCGGGGGCCGGGCCCGATCGGTTACCGGCCGCCGAGCGGGGCGGAGCCGGTTCCGCGGGCGGGTCGGGACCCCTTGGAGCAGGGATGTCCCGGGCCGGCTGGGGACAGCGCTCCCTGAGCCCCGGGGCCGCTGCGGTCCGTTCCCCGCCCGCTCCGGGTGCTCGGGCAGGGACCGGGTTTGCAGCTCCTGCTCGGGGAGCGGGACCCCTGGGGCTCCGGGGTATTTTCAGTCTCGTGTTTTCCTCCCGTGAGAGCTCCGCATCACCGGGGCAAGCGGGCCGGGGCAAGCGGGCCGGGGCGGCCCCGCCCGTCCATCCGCCCGGGGCTGACCGGACCCGCTCCGGCCGGCCGGGGGCGCTGCGAGACCGGGCAGCGCCGGTGCCTCGGCAAACCCCGCCGGGGAACGGGCCCGGGCTGCCCGGGTCTCTCCCAGCCGCAGGGGGAATTCGTAGGCACTTCCAGGACAGAACCCGGCTGCGGGACGGGGAACTCGGGGCTCCCCGAGCACCCCCGGTGCAGCCCACGGGGGGCCGGGGTCTCCTGCCAGCTCCTGTGACCCCAGAGCCATGGAAACGGGCAGAAATGTTGTGATTGCACGGGGGAACGGTGAAAGGGACGGAGAACATTCCCCCGGCCCGCTAGCACCTGCAGCTGCAGGAAAAGCATCCCGGGACCGGGGGGAAGCCGGTGCTTCGTACCAAAAGGTGCGGGAGGCTGGGGCCGCAGCTCAGTGCGGCTTCTCGCCCTCCCGGAGAGATCAGGAGATGGGAAAACACACCGACAGCATGGCCAAAACCCTGCAGAACCCTCCCTTCCGCTGCTCCCGCACATGTGGAAATGCCCTGTCCGGCAGGAAGGGCCTGAGCAAACACGGGATACCGGAGAAAGGGAAAGCAGGAGCAGGGCACAGCCCGGGCATGCAGGGCAGGGTGCCCCACATGGTACCCATAGCACCCGGGTTAAACAAGACAAGTTGTTTAACTTTCACGGGGCCTGTCAGGGAGGGCAGGAGGCCCCGGGATATCGGCGGGGCTCAATAAGCACAGAGGCATCACAGCCCCGGGTCCCGCTGGTCCCGCTGCACAAACCAGCCCTGCCCAGCCCATGGCTCTGCCCAGGGAGGTGACAGGATCCTGGACAGCAATGCCGAGGTCCCAGCTGTCCCCTGCAGCGCTGGGGGCTGTGTTCAGTGTGGGTCAGGGATGAGGGGCTGCCCCTCAGTGAGCAGTGGGGAAGCAGAAAAGAGACCACAGTGTTTGTTGTGGAGTTCATTTAATGTATACAGCGACTGTCAGCAACGTGTTTCACCCAGGCAGCAGAACACAGACAGAGAATCAAAGCTCCACCTGCAGCCACACTTTGATCTCACCCTTCAGTCTGCAGACACCTCTGTGGATGCCCACCACACCCTCCTGTAACACAGCCAGTGCCCAGGGCTGCCCAAGGGTCCCTGTGCCCCATGCACATTGCAGTGTGCAAGGTACACAGAACCTTCTCACCTAATTTTAAGCAGCCTGGCACCTTGAGGCATTTCCTCTCTGCTTCCAGCTTAATGAGTCTCGTTATTGTTCTAATCTGTTCATACACAAATACCCAGCTCCACTGTGCGAATGGAACACGACAGTCACACACAGCACTGACACACCCACTGCTGCTACAGCTACATCGAGTTGAGGAGTGCAAGGAAACACTGACAGCTCGGACAGGAAAGAAAGCAACAGCTAATGCAGGGACACAGCACAGAGAGCCCCCTGCCATGGAGCTGTTTTGGCAAGACTGAGCTGCTCTCTCCCTTAAAGGCTCCCCAGAGAGTGCAGAGGACAATGTGAGTCACTGGTACATCCACCTGAGCAAAAGCTGCCTCCAGCTATGCCAAGCCCACGCAGGCACGATCTGATGTGCCTGGAGGGCCTTGGTTTCAAAGCAGAAAGCCCAAGAAATGTCACTGCCAGTGGCAGTGCCTGCAGTGACCAGTGACAGTCTGCACCAAGGCTCATCCCTCCCCATCCTGCCAGTCAGGCAGCTGAGTCCCAGAGCATGAGGGCTCTCACCACTGCCTCCAGCAAGAAGAGAGAGAACAGCCCTCACTCTTCTGGAGCTGAGGTCGCTGAGCCTTTTCTCCATGTGCTATTTTGTCCCCTCAGCACAGCTGCCATTTCTTTTCTGCCCTGATCAGCTGCCAGGGAATGCACAATACAGGGAGCACACGACTGCACACCAAACAGACACCTCATGCACTTGGTACCTCTGGGAGTAAACTTAAGGAACGAAAGTTTCTGTGATCCAGTGTTGTGACCCCAGAACGTCAAAGCTTTTGGCTTTGGGATGCCATGGGAACGCTCAAGGGTGCTGCAATAAGTTATTGTCACTACACACAAGTCACACACACGGGGAGGGGACAGCCACAGCCTTGGTGCTGGGCTCTCACACACACACACACACAACGTTTAACACTGCTGGAGTGGGGGCCTCAGTCATCAAACCTCCCCTCACGGATGATATCAAAGGAGAAAGGGAGAAACTTGAACCCAGTGCCAGTGTAGAACTTGTTCTGGAATTCAATCCTGCAAGAGACAGAACAGTGATTACTCATTAGAAAGGCAGCTCTCAATAGGAACAATTAGAAGTAGGGAGTAGTAATCCTACTCCATTAAAAGTAGGATTACTGACTAAAAAAGCTTTAAGGAGAAAAAGAGGTATTATAACATAATGTATCTTTTGGCACAACCCCCCTATCCATGTGTGGAGCTGCCCAGAGACTTCAATCCCACCCTCAGGCACAAAAAATGGCAACAGGAGAAGGCTGGCCTTGACCAGTGTCCCAGGAAGCACAGGAGCAGAGACAGCATTTTCTACACCAGCTGCTAAAGTTCCCTTTTTCATTAGCACAAGCCTCAGCCATGTGACAGAGCTCAGACTCCCCAGCAGGCATTTCTGCTGATTCCCTGCAGCACATTTGCCCTGGGACGTGTCCTCCAGCTCCAGCCAAGCATTAGCTCAGCCCCATTTGCTGCCCCTAATGAACTGGAGTAAAAAAAGAATTATTCTAGAGAATTGCCCAATAGTCAGCGACAGCCAAATAGGGACAGGGAAAGCTAATCCCCTGATTCCCAGCAAAAACAAGCCCAAGCTTCACAGACACTTTCCACTGCACAGTCTGCTGGAAAACAAAGCCCCTGCAGGCAGCAAGTGACAGCAAACTGGGGAGCCTTTAACACAGTTCAGGGGAAGGGTTTTTTCAGCAGAAAAAGACAAACTGGAATTATTTTTCCCCAAATGGGAAATCATGGCAAACTCCAGAGCTGCTGGATTCAGCTAGCAAAAGTGATTTCCCCCCAGAGCCCAGGAGGGAAATGCTCAGGAAAACCAGCTCTAGCCTGTATCTTCTGCTGCCTCACAGGCCAAGGGATCCCCAGGATGAGCAGGATTTTCCGTGTGGGAGGAAGGGCTCCTTGCCAACATGCTCCAGTTTTTCAGGAACCCTGATAATCTCCATAAGTATCCTGTGACTAAGTAACTGTTCTGTAAGCAAAGGGAAATGAGAGGCAGAGGGTTGAGTGAGTCACCCAGGCTCACTGTGACTGACATGTTAACCCTGATGATTCACAATTCCAGCTGGCCTCAGCATCCAAACCTTCCCTTTGGACATTCCACTACAACTGGAGGCCTGACACAGGGAGAGAGGCTGTTCTAAGGTTAGAAAACTAGCCAGAAAAGTGTATTTAACCAAATAATCAGAGTGGATGGCCAGTGGGGTTTTCTGCATGGGTGCCCAAGTTCTGCAGAGGATTTACAGACACTGGCATTATCAGCAAACAGCCCAGGAGTGCTCTGGCAGCAGCAGTGCTCCAGGAGACCCTCTGTGCAGCTTTTTGCATTAATAATTAGTGCCAGTGTTTGTCAGGCTGTTTTCTTTCCAACCCCACAGAGTCAGGGTGACAACACTGGCAAACCAGGCAGCTCCAGTCTGGGGAGTAGGAGGCAAAAGTCCCCTATAAAAAGACAGAAGTAGGAGGCAAAAGTGCAACAGGAACTGTCACTCAGCACTACTGCAAATTCCCACTCTGTGTTTGTGTCCCTGAAGGTGCCAGAGCCTGGGGTCAGGTGTAAAGCAGGCACACCTCAAGGGTGGCTCACCTGACAGAACCCATTGGTGCACACTGCTGCAGCTACTCCTTCCCAAAAAGAGCAGAGGTACCAGATCTGTCTCTGGGATGCTCCATCCTGCCTGGCAGGAGGCTGTGGCTGCCCCTGGAGCAGTGGCTCCTGCAGCCACACTGCAGGTGAGTCCTGGCTCAGGACATTTACAAAGGAAAATCAAATCCTGGCAGGTGGGTGAGCAGCTGGACTCCAGCACTCCCCTCACTGGACTGAGAGTGGGATGCAGCTCCAACACACCCACACCTCTCAGAAAGCAGCACCCTGAATTGTTACAAACCTTTTATTTTGGGCACAGGCTGTTCTGGCTCATATTAGAGCTTAAAAAGGGGGAAACTGCTTTAATCTGAATGTTCATGTTGAACTACATCACCAAAAAACAATAAATGGAAAGGCTGAATATTTCAGAAGGGTGATGTATTTCAGAAGAGTTATAGCAAAAGAAGCTGACAGCTGAGACACTCACAGAGCTTTTGGGCACAGTCTGTTTTGGCTCACATTAGAAGAGGTGACTAACTTAAAAAGGGAGAAACTGCTTTAATCTGAATGTTCATATTGAACTACATCACTGAAAAACAATAAATGGAAAGGCTGATTATTTCAGAAGGGTGATGTATTTCAGAAGAGTTATAGCAAAAGAAGCTGACAGCTGAGACACTCACAGAGCTGCAGTGCAGCCCAAATTCACACCCTGCAATCCTGGCAGCAATCCAGAGGGCTGCCTCCACCCCAGAACAGCCTGAAAAGCCCAACCTGCTCAAAGAATGCACGCTGAAAAAGCACAAAACAAACCTCCCTCATTTGGGACTGCCAGGCACAGCATGTGGAACAACCTGTGAATTCCCTGACCAGTAAAACACATTCTCAATTCCTCCTCCTTTCCAGGAAGGCTGAACCACCCACACCTCAAATTCCTGATAGGTGACGGCTCTCTCATAGCCAGAAATTCCCATCTGCTCCTCCCAGGACAGCTGTATTTGACCTCCACTCTTCCTTCCTCTTCCTAAAAAGGGAACACCTGCCATTGGAACACCCTGTTTTCAGTGCAGAAGCATAAAGGAATGTGAACAGTGTGCTCTTTGGAAGCACTGCAGGTGCCTCCCTGTGATAACCAACACCCAGCAAGCTCAAAATCATTTCAGCAGATCACTTGCAGTCTGAAATAGAACCTTCAGCTTGCTTTTTGGGCTCTGAGCCTGGACAGATTTCCTCTCAGAGCCTGTGCATGAAAGGCTTGAAGGTTTGAAACAAATGTTTAGGGAAAACAGGACTTTGTCAAGCACTCAGCTCCACTCTGCACAGGCAGAGTGATCTGTGCTCTCACTGCTGCTGCCCCTGGGTTTGCCATTTCCCTGGCACATGCACAGATGGTTTTGTGTTCTGTGATCTGTGCTCTCACTGCTGCTGCCCCTGGGTTTGCCATTTCCCTGGCACATGCACAGATGGTTTTGTGTTCTGTGATCTGTGCTCTCACTGCTGCTGCCCCTGGGTTTTCCTGGTTGCCATTTCCCTGGCACATGCCCAGCTGGTTTTTCAGTGGCCCTTTAGGGAAATGTGGAGCATTACCTCCAGCTCACACCTGTTCCAGGTGTCTGAGCCAGATCTGGAGGTGCAGTTTGTGATTAACACAAGACAGGTACCTTCCCAAAAATGTGTCTTCTGCTCCATGGAGCCTGCCTAGAGCAGCTGCTCCCCTGAAATGGCCACGCAGCTCCACAGCCCTGGAAATCCTCTACTCCTCAAGAATTGCAGAGCAAACCCAGCACATGTGGAGTTACAGCACTGCTGCCCTCTGCCCCTCCTGGCTGCTCTCAGTGCCCAGCAGGCTCTGTGGGGCTCCTGCTGTCACTGCTGCAGTGGCCCAGCATGGTGACAGCAGGGACAGGATGAGGGACCTCTGGCCAGCCAGCAAGGAGCTCTGGAGTGGCTGCTCTGCAGGGCTCAGGCTGGATGCCAGGAAAAACAGAGGCACCATCCAGCAGCCATTTCCAGGAGTGCCCCCCCAGCTCCCTCAGCACAAGATGGCTTCACCCCAGGATCAGCTTGGCTACAGGGACACAGGTGGACCAGGACCCTCCAGCCTGCACCCCCAGCCTGCACCTCACTAGCTGCCAAGGCAGAGGGCAAAAGGCCAAAGCTTTCCTTCCCCACAAGCAGGGGAAAAGTGCAAAAAGGCTGATTTTTCTCTTGCCCTTTTTATTTTTTTTAGAGGCACTTGCTTCCTTTTGCACTTACAGAACTACTTTCAGAGAGTGCACCCAACTTTTTCTTCCCATTTAAGCAGGACAGAGTATTTCTTGTGATCTTCAGAGACTTCCCTTTGCTCTCATGGCCCCCCTGCCCCAGGAAATCAGCAGCCTGAACCCCAGAGAGGCACAGACTCTCCTATATTTCAGGCTGAGAAAATCCTGCTCCCAGTTGCTCCTCTGATCCCACCAGGGCACTAAGAGGGAATCTGAAGTGGAACAATGAGCCCTCTTAAACATGGATTAGAGAAAGCTCTTGAATATTTCCCATACTTGGGAGCAGAGTAATTCCTTCTCCTTTGCTGGCTGCATGCACAGGAGCTTAATGATGACAGGAAAGGGCCTGCAAAAGCAACTTCCAAAAGCAAGACCAGCAAAAACTTGCAGCCACCCCAAAGTACCCCAAGGGCAGAAGGCAGAGCCACTCCTGTCCAGGGCAGGGTTTTACAGCAATGAACAAGGTTTTATAGCAATGAACAAGGTTTTACAGCAATGAGAAGGAACCTGCAGTCAGTGGCTATTGCACACAAAGGACAACAAACACAGGAAGCAGGGAAAAGACCAAGAAATAGAACAAGAAAGTCCAGCTGAAAGGCACAAAGCACACTGCTCCAGCCAGCACAGCCTCCCCAGTCCCTTGTCCCAAAGCTTTGGGCCCTTAAGCTTTCACTTTTTAGTGCTTATTTCTAAGCAGAACCCCACAACTTGAAACAACAGCTGGGGGGAGGTGTTTTACCACAAACAGAATTGAAATCTCTGACTCTTTTTAACTTTCTGCCTTCTAGAAGATGGCATTTCTGCACAGTACAGATGACACCAGTTTTTGTGTTCTGAAGAGCTCTCCAGGTGTGTGGCTGTCCCAGTAACTCACCAGTGCAGGCGCAGAGCGTGGAGGAAGGCTGAAAGCCCCTCCATGACCAGCAGGATGGCCACTGTCAGCGTGGCAAAAGCAGCAAAGATGAAGAAGAGGCCCAAGCCTCCCCCCAGGCTCCTCACGCTCAGGCCAATGTGGATCACCATGGTCCAGAGCACCTCTGAGAGCTCTGTGAGAGAAAGGGGAGAAGATCAGGTCAGCACAACGGGGGTGTTCACTGGAAAGTAAAAACTGAAGTCAAGCAAAGCCCAGCTACACTGAGGAGGAAACTGAAGAGGGACAAGAGTTTTTGCAGCCAAGTGTGTCAGGACATTGGCTGCAGCTGCCACACAGGCAGGGCAGAGTCCTGCTCAGCAGCTCTTTGCTTTATTCTGTGATTTTAACTCCACTCCTCCCACCCAGCAGACCCTGCTGTGGGAGCTCACTGCTCCTGGGTAATGCATGTTGCACATTTCCCTCCACAGAGAAAAGCAAGGCACGATTCTTCCCAAGGATTTCTGGGGTTCACATTCTCTGAACCTCAGAGAAAGGGAAAACACAATTCTTATCTCATTGCTGTGCCTGTGCTGTGCCAAAGCAGAATGCAATATGGAGATTATTTCCAAAGTGAGGATGTTTTGTTTCCTTGGCCTATCAGGGCCAGGTGTGTGTGTGTGTGTGTGTGTCAGGACTGTCTGCTGAGAGTCAGGGAACGAGGGCAGTTCTGTGCAGAGCGAGTGCTTGGCAGATTCAGTTTAGATGAAATGTATATAATATAGTGTCACTGTCGTGTTTTTATGAAAAATCCCTTTGCCAGGATTTTTCTCCTGAGGAGCTGAGAAGCCTCAGAGGAAAAGAAAAACAATAATTATCTGCTGCTGTGGAATGCAACAGGTGCAGCTTTGATTGGTCCATGTGGATTGTGTCTAATTAATGTCCGATTATGGTCCAGCTGTGTGGACTCTCTGAGAGTCACAAGCTTTTTTATCATTCCATTCCATTCCATTCCATTCCATTCCATTCCATTCCATTCCATTCCATTCCAGCTTTCTGTCTGTACTATTTTCTCTATAGTCTTTTTAGTATAGCATTTTAATACAATATAATACCATAAAACAACAAATCAGCCTTCTAAAGCATGGAGTCAAGATTCTCATCTCTTCCTTTGTCCTGGGAGCCTCGAGCACAACCACAACACAGCATAATAAAGTAATTATTCAGCATTCTGATCTCCATGGGGTCATGCATCATTCTCTCAGTAACAAATGCACACACAGCAGTGCCAGGGGAGCCCTGAGGGGCCTCCTGTGCTGCTGTGCCCCGGGGCTGGGCTGGGGACAGAGGGACACTCACGTGCGTGGGCCAAGCTCAGGGCCCAGAGGCGCAGGTAGGAGGCAGTGTTGGAGATGCAGCCCAGGCAGTACTCGATGGTGTGGATGGCCTGGTACACCACGGTGTCCCCAAAGTCAAACTGCAAAGGAACAGAGCGTGAGGGGAGCTGGGAGTGCTGGCAGGGTGGGGACAGGGGCAGGGGACTGCTGCTGTCACCAGGGACACCGTGTGTGACACTGCACACTGACACTCTTCTCCTGGTTTAGCACGGCAGGGCCACAAATGAAAAATGGATCTTGTCTTGACAGGTTTTGCAGAACGACAAATGCTGTGATGTGAATACTGTTAATATTGTTTTCTTATTCTGCCACGTGAGAGTCAGATATTCCAAATTCATCCATGGGCTTAGCCAGGAAAAGACTGTTCAGCAGAAGGTGGTGCTGGTGTGCACTCCCTGGACACGCAGAGGTGCTGCTGCAGGAAGGAGCCAGTGCCCCAAGCTGCACTGTGTGTGCCTTTGCTACAGGAGCATTTCTCAAGACATGAATCTGCCCTTTTTGAAAGCAAAAATAATGCATGAAGCTACCCTGACAAAGTCACATCTGTGCACCAGTCACTGGCAAGCCACTCTGTGCCTTGGTAATTTTCTGCAATAATAAAAGAATTTACAAGGAACTCTGCCATGTAGGGCAGTTTCTTATCCTGCAGCTTGGGAAAGCATTCCCTGCAGTTTGGATTTAATCCATGCTTCAGAAACTGCTCAGATTTAAGTGAACATGATGTTTTAAATACATCCAGTGACTAATGCTCTAGGCATGCACACAAAGCTATTTATATTCTTAATTCTCCCCCAATATATCCAAGGCAATAAATATTTCAAACAATCCAGTTAAATTAGCTGTCAAATCCTAATCCTTTCTCCACAGAATGTGAGCTGTGAAGTTCTTCACTAAAGGCTGTCCTAGCCAACAGTTCCAGCTCTGGACACAGAGGCAGGAGGGAATGTGGGAAATGTTGGAACAATGACCTTTCAAAGCTGAGTGCAACTGCCAGAGAGACCCCTGAGGCAGGAGTGGGAGCACTGGGACTGCTGTGGGACAGTCCTTGTGGGCTGACACATCTTCCCCAGGTTCAGGGAGACATCAGAACAGGAACCCCTGCCCTCCCCTTCCCCCCTGCTCCCCACAGGCCTGTGCACAGCAGAGCTCTCAGCACCATTTTCAGCAGCAGTGCCCTGCCCAAGCTGTTCTGATTTCATGCCATTTGTATTTTTTTTGGTAGTAAAATTGGTTACCTGATAGTGCTGAAACCTACACTCACTGCATCAGTATTAACCCCCAGTTTTTTAATACTTGTTACAATGAGCAGTTTCTCAGAATGGAACTTCTCTTTGACACAAAGCCTCTGGCCAGCTCAGTTCCTGAACTACACGAAACTGGACTGGCTGTGCTGCATTGGCTGTCTGGGTCAGCCAGCATCATCCTTAACTGGACAGATAGCTTGTGGGAAGAAATCTCTTTCAACGGTTTGCTGCAGCACAGAATTAAGAAAGCCACAAAAAAAAGCCTCATAAAAAACCTGAGACTTCTTTGGAGGCTCAAAAGTGAAAACTTTTCAGTTTCAGACCTCCAGCTGAACAGCTTCCCAGGTAACTGGGAACAATCTGCAGACAGGGGATCAGACAGAAAAGCTGTATAGATGAAGTCATTAAAAGTCTGTGGACGTATGTGTGCATGAATTAAAAATGGCCTGTAACATGAAAACAGCAAGATCTTTTGGAAAACAAGATGCTGTGACATAACAAGTTCCATTCAGCACATTTTACACCGATGGGAAATGGCCCAGGTACACATGAAGGCAAAGCTGCTCTTACCACCTCGTCCTCTGTAGGCTTGAAAACACAAATTTACATTTAGTGCAGTGTTTTGATCACATGAATCATGAACACATTCAGCAATTCCCTCCTAGGCACAGCACAGAAAGCAGTACCACATCCCATGCACTACAGAGGCAGGATCTGCTGCAGCCCTTCAGAGGCATCACAAAACTCCCCAGCTACCTGACATCCACTCGTTTTCTCCTCTCCCAGAGGAAAGGGAAGTAATTCATATCACCCCCAGCAGTCAAAATGAATAGATAAACAGAATTTCAGTGCTGCAGGAACACAGCCCCTGAATTTCCAGTGGCATGGGAGTGCTGTGCACCCCTGAGATGGTGGCACTTTGGGGACAAACAGAGCCACATCTCCCAGCATATACAAATTATGCTGCTTTTTCTGGAAGTCCTGGGAGTGACCAAGAGACAGTCAGTGAGAAAACTGCTAGGAACACACTTCACTGGGAATGCTGCTGTTGAAACAGCCTGGAAAATGTACCTCCAGCCCCAGTGAGCTCATCCTGCTGCCGAGTGCAGTGCCCTGAGAGCGAGGATGCTCAGGTGCTTACCTCTTCCCCCTCCTCAGAATGGGTAGATAACTGGTCATGTTGAATGATCTCAGCATCCTCCTCTGTTGGGCCATTGCCCACCCGGATCCCACCAAAGTTGTGCGTGCCCTGACACATGCAGAAAAGAAAGAGCAAAGTGTTGTTTGGGTTTTAGTGCAAAAGTGCAGGTTTCTCATGATTCCATGTGCAGCAGCAGCTCACAGAGGAAAACAAAATTATTAAATATTAAGGCCCAGATTAAGGCAGGTACAATTCTATTTCCCAGCTTGGATGGGACAGGTGCTGATTCCTGCTGGGGCTGGGGAAAAAAAAACCAAAAAAAGTCTGTCTGAGTGAATCCTTGGCACATTTCTACAGTGTAACTGCAACCATGAGGACAATAAAGGCACACCTCTCAGAGGACATTTGCTGGCTCTGACATGCAACAGCCCCACGTCCTGCCCAGCACAGACACAGCACTGCTGGGTACTGGAGCAGGTCATGGAGCTGAACACACTAACACAAACACACACAGTTCCTCCCACCAGCCTCAGGCACACCAACACTGCATGGAAAACCAGATCTTGCCCTGCTTGGGAACTCTACATTGTGCAAGCAGGTCTTTTTAGAGATATTTGTTCTGACATTCAGCATCTGACCCTCAGCTGCACCTCCAGGACTCAAAGGGGAAAGAACAAAACACAAACTGAGCTGAAATTGGGAGCAGATCTCACCTGACCCCTGAGTCTGACCCCTAGAAAGGCCAACTACAACACCATGGATAGAAATAAACCCTTCAGCACTGTCTTGGGTCATCTGTGACACAGGATGTGACCTCTCTTGCCACATCCAGACTGCAGAAGTGCAGGGATGCCCATGCAGATAAAGAGGCAGAAGGTCCCTCCCATGACCTGGTGCTTGCACAGACCAGCTGAACAGCTTCTCTGAGTTCTTCTACCTCCCTTGTCCTTAGAAGCCTGCTTTTATTTTAGGCTGAATTGCAAATATGCCCAAAACACCAGATATGAATTAGAGATTTTGCCAGGTTTCTAAAAACAAATTAGGTAGGCATTTATGCTCTGAAAACAGAAATAAAATTTAAAATCCCCTCCATATTAACAACTAAGACAATGCTTTTGTTAGGATTTTCAGGACCTCTGAAACACCACCAGTCACTGGTGACTCCTGTCAATGTTCTATTTATGTATTTCCAGCCTGTGTGAAGTTGCACTTGAGCAGCCTTTCCCTCACACTCGACTCATCCATTCCCTGTAACCCAGCCAACCTAAACACAGCTCCAACAGCTCCAATTGTTTACTTGATCCCTCTAAGCACCCTTCACACAAGGCCTCCCCCTCCATCTCCTGATGGAGATGCATTTCATACGCTGGATGGATCCTGCACAAAAGATCCATTTTCATTTCTGACATTTCTGGGAGGAGACTAAAATGTCATGTGGAACCAGCTGACGTGTCCCTCCCAGCACCTCTGGCACCTGGAGAGCATGATGTGCTTCACACAATCAGTGAGATTCACACCTCCTAGTCAGCCAGGCAGATTCAGAAATAAAAGGTAGCTGAAACAGGGGAAAGGACTAAGTTCTGGGGCTGCCACAATCCTCAGCAGAAAGCTTTGGCAGCAAACAGCCATCTGTAAACTTAGAAACATGTAAGTCAAAGCAACTGCCACCAAGAAGCTTGTTTGTGCACAACCATATTATAATAATTTCAGGTCAAAGTGTGTACAGGACAGATGTGTCACAAATCCAATGATCACTGACATGGAGTTGCTGGAGGCCATCACATCACTGTGTGTTTGGGAACACGTAATGCAAACAGAAATGCTGCACTGAGAAGAATCCTAATCCATCTCAAACAAAGAGACAAGCAGAAGAAAAAAAAGAGAATTTAACATGGGGGGATGTGGTAGCAGGAAATCCTGTGCTGCTCTGCAGGTTGGATTCAGCAGCCCTCCTGCAAAGAAGTGTCTCTGTGCACGCACAACTACCATCCTCAGCCTGGGTGTTCATCCAGAATGTATCAATTTGGCTAAACTTTGCTCTTTCCAAGAGAAAGTGTTTTCCACCCTAAAGGTGCACTTGCCATTCCCTTATGAAATTCAGATACATTCCATGCTCCCTCGATAATAACCAGACACAAAGCCAACTCCCATCTGCAATGCATCAGGCGAGTTTGAGGTGCACTCACTGTTGCAGCCGCTGCTGCCTCGAGCGCCTGCGCGTTCGTGCTGCCCTGGGCCTCCTCGGGCTGCCCTTCCTGGGGCTGGACGCAAGAAGAGAGAGGGAGGAGGAAGAAAACAAAAAAAAGAGAAAGGGAGACGAATGGAGGGGACATGGGAGGATGAAGGGTGGTCAGAGAAGGGAGAGGGAGTGGCTGTAACTGAGCTGATCTTCGGCTCGCTGCGCACCCTCGCAGCGCTGCCAGGCGTGCAGGGAGTGCTCACACTTCTGTTCCCGCAGCTCACACACAGCTACAGGGCAGCTGGAAACCTACAGAGCACCCCAGCACACAGCCTCTCACATCAGGCTCTAAGTCTCTTTTAATTGTTTTTTTTTAACCATCCAAGCTGCTTTAAGAAAGGTAGAGAAATCTGCCAGCCAATTCCATCTCTGTTTCCCACTGCCAGCCTAGCCCAGCCACAGAAATGCATCCAGCAGCCAGTGAGGCTGTTCCTAACCAGCTACCAAAGCCCAAGCCAGAGACACTGTTCTGATCATTACCAACATAAGGGGATTTTTAAAGCAGGTTTGATGCTGGACCAGATCTGGGAAGCAAGCAGGCAACACTCTGTCTCCAGTAGCACCCACCTGCTGGTATGCCCAGGAATATCAAAAACAATTTACAGATTTCAATGCAGTGTGAACCCGTTAATCCAAGCTCAGGATGGAGAACACAGCTTTTCAACCAAAACCAGTATTCATATGTAAAATATAAATGGCAGTCACCCACCAAGTGTTTTCTCCTCAAGTACTGCTGGCGAAGGACCAGGGGTTTGGCTACCAGCATCCATGGCACACACAGCAAGGCTACCACCACGAGGAAGCACTGGAGCCCTTTCTGCAAAAGAAACAAGCCCCAGGTAATTCAGCTGCAGCCCCTGCTCAAACACACACAGAACCCAGCAAGAATGGCTGAATTCCCAGCATGTGGATGCTCCTCTACCTTTCTCTCTTCTGAGAACAGCAATTAAGAACTTAATGCCTGCAGATTACACCTCTGACTGAGCACAGCATTTAGTGCTGAGACTGGATTAGACTGGGGAAAAATCTGAAAGATCCTGCAGAAAATGAGAATCTGGCAGATGTCTGATACTGCTGGGAGGAAACAGCATTGGTGTCTGAGCTAAGCTGAGAGGAATCACATTGCAGACATGGGACAATATTCCTAATTGCTTTTCACAATTAATCAGGATCCACATGTTCTGAAGCCCCAGCTGACTTATGGTCAGACAAATAAAATTTCCTGGTGCAGGGATTATTCCTTCCTTCTTCAACATTACACTGTATCAGCCTCCAGAAATGCTCTGTCACAGTGGAAAGATGTTTCATGATTTCACAATTATGACAAGGTCAATTAAACACTCCAGTATCATGAAGCTTCTCTGATTCTGTGCTAGCAAGAACACTCACCTGCCCACTATAAAGCATCTTATTACTGGTGTCCTCATAGGAGAACAGAAACATGTTGATGAAGTGTATTAAGAGGCTGGGTGCTTCCTTGGATGTGTGAGCATCGTAGGCTGTCCACTTGTAAAAGATGAGAATAACAAGGTATCCAAAGAGGGAGGACATGAAAATCATTTCTGGGATAAATCCAAGGTATATGTTCAGTGGCTTCTTAAAATAGCTACAGGGAAGGGAAAAAAAAGAAAGTTTATATTAGATTTGGTTAGAATTAGGGAAAAAGCTTTTAATAAGAGTGTGAAAAGAGTGCAGGGATTCAGCAGCTCAACAACAGCTGGGCCTGGAGCACAAGAACTCCACACACAGCCAGAGACAACTGCACTGCACCTTCCATCAGGAGGTGAGGGCTGACAGGATCTCAAAGCACACAGCACCCAAAGCCATTCCACTGCCCCCACCATGAGAAAACCTGAGCAAAGCACTTACATGTGGTTGAGGAGACTCAAAGCAACACCAAAGAGCATCTGGAAAATGCCAAGAATCACAGACATCTTCATCTTGAAGGAATTGAGGAAAGCCAGCTTATTGCTGGCAATATTCCAGATCTGTGAAAAACAACACCTAGTCAGATACCAGGGAAAGGAAAACAGGAGAAGGAAAACACTCCCTTTAAGCTAAACAGAATGAAGCAGTCAGGAAGTGTGAGGCTCAAAAAGCAGGTTTTTAAAGATGTGTTTGTCCTATGGATTTCTTTTGGGGAAATGAGCAGACAAGCTTTCAGCTGGGAACAGTCTGACAGTAACTGAGCCCACCACTGAGCAGGAATCAAACCTGTTTTCATGGTACCTCAAAGGTGCAGGAGAAAAGAGGCTGTATCCTTAACAGAAAGAATATTATTATCCATTTAAAGGAACAATTACACACAGCTCTGACTTCCTGCACTTTGTGGAACCCACACAAGGTTTGTCATATATTACAAGCAGAGTTAAGAGCAGAGGTGTTGATGCAGGCAGGTACAAAGTGACAGGATTACTGGGAAATGTACATTTCCAAGGGTGACTGAAAAAGGGGATTAACAACTTTCCCCAAGCTAAAAAAGTAACTTCAGAAAGTGATTTTCAAGGCTAATCAGATTTGATTAAAGCACTGCAGTTAGAAAGAGTGAGAAAGCAGCCTTTAATGGACCTCAAAACAAGGGTTTTTATCCCAAATCTGGCATCTCAGTAGGAATTATATTGTTCAGGAGCATTCCCACCATTGATGGACTTGCTAAGGGAATGGCTGGGCTGGGGCATCTTTCACAGAACAGTGAACAGAAAGGCACTTTTCTTTCTGCTGCCACAGAGGATTTTGCCCAAAAGCCTGCAGAGGAAGGATGAGCTCTTACTGGGTCAATGCCAAATGGGTAGGGCCCACCAAACACCCCTGGGATGGCAGGATCCAGCTGCAGCAGGGGGGTGGTCTCCAGCAAAGCATCTCTGTTTGGGAACAAGATTACACAAGCATTAGTAACAGCAATGTCACCCTCCATCTGCAAAAACTAACAACACTCTTCCCTTGTGAGAGCAAGGAATAGCTTAAATTGAGAGAAATTCAAGGTTGTAGAACCTGGATGGTTCTAGAGATTTTCCCAAATAAAACCCTGTTTCTTGACCTTTTACTCTGTCACAAAGACAGGTGCAGGGGACAAGAATCTTGAAATGTCTATGGGGAAATAGATGAGAAACTGCATCTTTGTAAGTTTTCTGGGAAAAAAAAAGCAGTTTGAATCTTGACATGTATCATCCCATTTACATCCTTCTTCCCAATCTAGCTGAGACAGAGGTCAGAAATTTTTGCTTTCCTGAGCTGGAAGGACAATGGGGAAGGACAAGTCACCTCTTTCTCACTGTGTCTACAAAGTTACCAAGGTTTTACTCACGACCAGTTTGCTTTATTGAACATGGGCCTGACGCTCCAGGAGGAACCAAACATGTTGAGGGATTTGGAGAAGCAGTCGTTGTAGATGAGCCCCGTGTAGGTGGAGAACAGCCCCATCAGCAGGATGATGTATCGACCACTGAACACCATGTTGAACATCTGGTGTAAAAAACCCAAACAGGAACAAAAAGCCCATGAGAACAGGGAATTTTGGAAAGCTGGATGCTGAGAATTTTAAACTTTCTGTGCTGAAAGGCACTGACTCGCAAGAGAACACTGCATTTGACCTGAGGCTGTGGAGAAAGCTTCCAAAATTGACTGACAGCACTGGGATCATTGGTGTGTAGTTGGTTAGAAGTGTGTAATATCACAGGGTGGAAAACTTAAAGAGTTTGGGGATTTAGAATATAGAAATAAATATGAAGCAAGATGGAGGTTTTAGGGCGGAGACTGGTTGTTCTTCTTTACCTTCTTCTTCTTCATGGGTTTGGGTGGTATTTTGTAATTGGACAGAAAAGTCCACATTGCAGGCTTTGAGGGACCAGTTTTTGGGTTAAAAGGGAAAATAATCTAGGTCTCATTTCTTAATTGGATAGTTTAGTCTTAAAAGACCTTGCAACAAGAGATAGTTGGCCATTTTGTGCCTTGCCAATGAAGGGCTGCAGAATTCACAGTGGAGAGGCTGTAGCACTGATAAGAAACAATAAACACCTGAGTCTGAACACAAACTATTATCTCAAGTGCCTTTAATCCTGACCCTGATGGAGGTAGAAAAAACAGAGAACCAACAAAGCCTAAAGCCAAACAGGGAAATCAGTCTGTTGTGGGACAAACATTGGCCACATGAACCAAGAGGCCAAAATCTCTATTTCCCCTTGGCAGGGATTAAGGGTGCAAGAGGGAGCAGAGCAGCACAGATAATGAGGATAAAGGGGGAGCATGGATCTCCATAGGGAACCCAGGAGTAGCTGGAGAGGACAAACTGCACTGATGCAACTCTCAGCTGGCAGCATGAGTTTGGAACCAGGAGCACAGACCCTGTCAGTCTCCTCCAGCCCTGCCAGTGTATGTTAACTCTGGTTCAGCTCCTGTCAGCCCTGAGCCAGCAAAACCAACCTTGAGCAGCAAATAGGAAAAATACCAGGGATGGGATATAAATGTACAGAAACTAAGAGTTTTGCAGTAGCTAAACCCCACTATGATCCAGCTAAATTTGGGGTGATTTGTTTACACCAACTTACCTACTACACTTGATTTTACAACTGAAATTAATAATTTCCTACAAATATGCAAAGGGAAAACCAAGGGAACTCAATACTTTTATGAAATTACACTATTGTGTGTGTGTGTGTGTGTGTGTGTGTGTGTGCTCTTCAGGCTTCCCAGCCTGTCCACGTGCTTCAAAAATTCCAAAGGAGGAGTAATGGGCATTGTCAACTCAAGGGGAAAAGGATGGGAGTAAACCAAGCTGCAACTCTTTGTTTGAAATGCACAGCTCAGCAGGATCTGCCACTTTACCTCATTGTCACTCTTCTGGGAGAGGATCCGGCTCTCCCTCACCACCATCCAGACAGCAATCAGAGTCATCAGGATGCCATGGCCAAAATCCCCAAACATCACAGCAAACAGGAATGGGAAGGTGATGATGGTATAGGGTGCTGTAAGGGAAAAGACAACATTCCCAGGGCACTGTGTGTTAGCCAGCCCAGACTCACCATGGTGCACTTCAGGCAATTTAGCAAATATAATTCCCTAGCTTGCCCTCTGTTACTGAAAGCTGATGAGCCACTACTAGAATTCTCTATTATAGATTTCCACACAGGACAAGCATCATGACTAAAAAATTTGAGACAAAAGTCTTGGACTTTTCTGCATCTGAATTTACCTGGATTTATTTCCCGATATGTCCCAATGCCATAAGCATCAACAATGTTTTGAAAGCCAGAAGTAAACTTGTTAGTTTTGTTGTACGTGGGTGGGGTCTGATTGGTTTGCATCCTGTTTAAAATAGATGGGACAGTGGATCCACTGTGCTCCTGTTAGAGAAAAACAAAGGCAAGATCAGCAAACCCACCCTCGGAGCATTGGAGGATGAAGTCCAACACAGCTGTCCCCTCTGGCATTTGGAAAACTGCAAGCTTGAGTGTTTGCAGTGTGCTTGCACAATGAGACACTGCACAGCTGAGGAAGGCTGCCAGGATTCCACTGCTCTCCACTTTGTGTAGGAGTAAAGGTGAACATTGTGCAGGACAGACAAAAAAACCAAAAAGCAGGTGGAAGGACTTCAAGAAACTGAATTCTCTTAACTATTTGAGCACAGGGTGAATTTGCCAACGTCCTGGAGAGCTCCTCTATCCAGACACCAGGACTACAGAGCCCAGCCAGGGTAACTAAACCTCACACACAGTAAAATCCTCACCATTCCAGCATTCACCTGAACTTTAAGCCTCACACAACATATTTGTTACTTCTTTTATCTCTAAGCCATCATTCCTGCATGCTAAATAAGCTGGATTCCAAGAGCCCAAGGGGATAGTGCTCAGAGGCTCACAAAGCAGAACAGGCAATGAACCCACTGGTGCTGCCACAGCTGACTGGCACAGCACCTACTCACAGTGCCTCTCCTGAGAGCAAACTGGATGGAGTCCAGGTCAGCAACAGGACACCAGACTTCAGCAATCAAGCACTTCTGTGTCACGTCGATGTTGCACAGGTTCAGGGTGTGGTAGATGGCCTTCATCTTCCTCACTTTGATGAACCACACGCGGATGTTTTTAGCAGCTGCCTGCAAAACCCTCTGGCGGTGATCCTCAGTTTGGTTCAGCACCTTTCAGACAAGCAGGAGGAAGATGAGGCCAAATCATGGAGCAGAGATCAAGGTGCACCAACAAGAGAAGCCTTTCCCACAGAGGATGAATGCCCAGCTTGCTCCCCCACCCCAGGCACAGGCTGCCCCATGCCTGCAGTCTGTGATGTGGTAATTAGCCCCCACAGTAATTAGCTCTGCTGAAAAGTTTAAGGGCTTTTTCCAGGGACAAGGGACACTTTCTGATTATTTTCCTCCTCCAGCTCCAAGGTCAGTGGTTGTTTTAAACAATGAACTGTGCCAAGATCACAGGGAACAGTTTTACCTCCACCCAGGTTAAAAGAGCAGAGAAGAGTTCTGCAAGTAAAGGGTGTGCTGCCTTGAAAAAACACAAAAATTACCCTGAAAGACTTGTTTACTGAAGGGAAAAGGAGAAAGTCTTTCCTACTGAGGGTGTTTTCCAACTGGAACATATCAAACTCAGGCCAAGTCAGATTTCCAGAGTGGAAAGTCTTAGATTGCAGGGAAAGTGAGGACACAAGGCACATGCAGCTTACACAGTTACATTGCTTCTGAGTTCCTGTCTACTTTAAAATATCTTTTGAGCTACACTGCACAACTCCCCACTTCTGTATCAAATAAGTAGGTCAAATTCAACCCTTTTTCCTTTTAGTTTCTGAACTTTTTCTCAATTTTTGCCTCAAATCCCTCAAATCTTTATATATTTCTGCCTTTCTTCTTGAAGCAAGCACCAGGTATTTCAGAGGTGGCACCCACGAGATCTGGGTACTAATTACATTTTACCAACACTAAGGCTGTTGCACAAGAGATTAGCTGTAAAGCAGAAGCTCTTCAGGACAATGTGAAAATATAAAGACAGGCAGAAAAAGGAAGAGCTAAATTAATGTTAGCATTGTTGTATCTCAGCTTGAAAAAAGTTCAAATGTTTTCAAAGTACTTGCAGATGAAGCAGGGACTTACACAACATGCTCTCATTGTCAGAACCTATGGGATATCCCTACATGAGTTCCTCTTTTCTTCCTGGTATGGAGTTCTCTGTAATTATTTGTTTATAACAAATTGCTTAGCCCTCCAGAAAGATCAAACCACCCATCCCAAATCCTGACACAAAAACAAGTGAGCAGTCCCCCAACACCTCTCTTGCACTGCTGGTCTCAAGCTACCTGAAACTGAAAACATGGTGATCTCATAGGGGCAAAAATCCTCCTGTTTTAACAAAGTTTGTAAATATGAATTTCAACCACACTATTAAAAAAAAGCAAACTAAAGAAAGGTCTTTGGCCACAGTTTTTACCATCTGAAGATCATCAATTCTGGTGTTGACACCAGAAGCCATTTCCTTCCGCTCCTGAGGAGTTTCTGGGCATGGGTAGAGGGAGGCTCGGAACCTGGAAGACAGGGAAGCACCTCAGTGACAGAGATGGAAAGAAAATCAACCAGTCAGGGGTGAGCCAGAGGCACCTGGAGAGAAGTTTCTGATCAGCAGAGACTGCCAAGCAGAGCTCCAGCCCCTACACTGAAGGGAAGCAGAAGTGCTTTAGGCCAAAGCAGAAGCTGAGTGCTCAAGAAAAGAGAAGTGGGAGAGAATCCTCTGCTCCCTGTGCTGCCAGTGTCTCCAGGCACTGTCACGAGGCTGGGCAGCCATCCAGCTGAGGGGGGATGCTCCCACACCAGTGCAACTGCTGATAGAAGCAGTCACTGTTGTCTCCACTGTGAGAAAATCCCACTCATGTCCATCAGGCTGCCCCAGAAATCACCACTGCCTTGTTTTTTTGCATTCCCTAGCACAGCAGTTGTGTACTTTGAGCATTACAGGCTGGGGAGTGGCAAATCTGACCGTAAAATGTGTTTCAGTTACTTATGGCACATTTCATTCGCTGTCTAAGTATCTGCTCCTGCAGCCACTGTGAAACAGGGAGCTGAGAAATATTGATATAAAGTCATGTCAGTGTGTTTCCAATAATTGAGAGCTGCCCAGCTGTCAATTACAGACTTTCATACCCTTCACAGATCTTCTTGACTCTGTTCTTCAGCTGGTCACCTTGGAAGAAGATGATAAATACAGACTTGTGCACGTAATCCCCCTAGAACAAAGGAAAGAATTGTTGAAATTAGCACTGGCTAATTACCAGAATTCTAATTTTCCTTTCACTGAGTCTGTCCATCAGAGCTCAGCTATGCACAGCAGGTCAAGAAATGTACCTGATTAACACTGAGCAGTCACAAGGAGAGCAATTTTCTCAGCTCAGTACAGAATACTTGCACTGTATTTGTGTTCACTGAAGCAAAATGCCCCAGGTTATCCATTATTGATTCTATACAATACAGTAAATGGAAAAACTGCTAAGATCTCCAAAAATAACAAAGATTTTATCAGCACTTAGTGCAGTCAGCTCACCTACAGAATCAAGCCAAAAGAGTGAATGAAGATTAAAAAAAGTGGAGTTTAACCAGTGTGGTTCCCAGGGATTCCAGAGGCACATTCCTTGCACAGCTGTGTCCGTGGGGGCAGCCAGGGCCCCTTTCCTGCATTTGTTGACAACTTATTGTTCTACCTTACTTAGGAAATTTTAACATCATGTTTCAGGAATAATTACATTAGGTGTAACCTCAATTTAAGGAAGTTCTGCACAATAAGAACAAAGTCTCTCCTAGCAGACAGATGATTCCACAGGTCAGCTACCAGGGGTTGGTGGGACAAGGGAACACATCAGCCTCACATGAGAAAGAGAGGCTGTTACTGAGCTTCACCTCCTGGGTCTGTGCTCCAGGGCAGCCCCTGACTAGGTAAGGGTGCCCCAAGTTTGGGCAGTGCCAATGGTTTGAGCACAGAAGACACTGGATGTAAAACCAGGCCAAATCACAAAATTTATTATTTATTTCTACAGTAATGTGAACGATTCTAAGGTGGATGTTTAAACTATTGATTAGTGAATAAATGAAAAAAAAAAAGGTTAAAGTTCAGAGAAACGAGCTTCAGATGCTCCACACTGCCCATGTCCCAAAGAGCAACTTTCACAGAGGATCACTACTCATTGCAGTTTGGGCCAGAGAAATCCCTAGGCCCTGCTGCAGTCCATGCTTTGAGTTGTTTTCCCCCTTCCAACAGCACCCCCCATCCAGCCTCCTATTTTTGTTTTAATTAAACAGAAAAACATTTGTTGATGAAGCCCAGAGGCTGGTGCTGGGATGGACCTCACTGATGAACAGTGTGGAAGAGGTTTTACAGTGACTTCTGTGAGCCAGAGAGAAGTTTGAGAAGGGGATCCATGTTTCCCCCTGAAAGAATTACCTTCTTAAGTCATTGACATAGAAACCAAGAAAGAAAGAAGGATAAATAAGAGAAACCTGCAACTATTCCAATGAGCACTTTGTCTTTTGTGAGCAATGAGTAAACTTAGGAGTTCTCTAAGAATGAATTATAAGCATTTGTTTGAAGCCTTCTGAAAATGGAGCGTGTGGCTCTGTGTTGTTTTATTGTCATATTTTCTGGAAAAATCCCTTTGCCAGGGTTTCTTCTCCTGGGAAGCTGAGAAGCCTCAGGGAAAAAATGAAAACAATAATTATCTGATTGCTTCTCCTGTGTTTTGCTGCTTTGGAGATTATTTACCAACAGGTGCATATTTGATTGGTTTCATGTGAATTGTTTTTATTTAATGACCAATCACCGTTCAGTTGCATCAGGACTCTAGAAGGAGTCAGGACTTTTCATTATCATTCTTGTTAAGCCTTCTGTAAGTATCCTTTCTCTATTCTTTAGTATAGTTTTAACATAGCATTTCTTTTATAGAATATAATATCATAAAATGATAAATTAGCCTTCTAAGAACATGAATTTGGATTCTTATCTCTCCCCTTGTCAGGATTGCCTGCAAATCCAACAGTGTTGTCCCTGTCTCAACTACGACAGCACAGAGGCTTTTATCTGAGGATCCTGGCGAGTTCAGAGGCTGCTGCTGCAGCAGCAGGAGCTCCCTTACCGTGACGGGGTCCTCCAGGGGGTTCTCGATCTCGGCCTGCCGCAGGAAGACGTTCCCGCGGCACACGCGCCACAGCATCCGCTCGAAGGTGGGGATGCGCTCGCGGTTGATCACGCCAGCCACGAACCTGCAAGGGGACAGCATGGCCTGAGGGGCTGCCCCTGAGCCCCCCCACAGCCAGCACGCCTGGCAGCTGGGGGCTGGCACCACAATGAAAGCTGTAAGAATCTTGTTTTAATGTTAGTTCTTGAGCGCGTCCAGAGCTGTCGTGTTCACGTTTGTATTTTCTGAAAAATCCCTTTGCCCAGGATTTTTCTCCTGGGAAGCTGAGAAGCCTCAGAGAAAAAGGAAAACAATAAGGATCTGATTTGCTTCTCCTACGTTTTGCTCCTTTGGAATGTGTTTGGACATTGTTTACCAACAGGTGACTCTTTCATTGGTTTCATGTGAATTGTTTTGACTCGTTGGCCAATCAGGGCCAAGCTGTGTCAGGGCTCTGGAAAGAGTCACCAGTTTTCATTATTATCTTGTTAGCCTTCTGTAAGCATCCTTTCTGTATTCTTTAGTATAGTTTAGTAGAGCATTCTTTAATATAATATAGTATCATAAATTAATAAATTCGCCTTCTGAGAACATGGAGTCAGATTCATCGAGATTCATCATTCCTTCCCTTGGTCTGGGGGCAACACAAATACAATGGAGGGCAATGATGCTGGTGAGGGGATTGAACACAAGCCCTGTGAGGAATGGCTGAGGGAGCTGGGGGTGTTCAGCCTGGAGAAAAGGAGACTCAGAGGTGACCTTATCACTCTCTACAGCTCCTGAAGGGTGGTTGTAGTCAGGTGGGGTTGGTCTCTTTCTCCAGGCAGCACTGACAGAATGAAAGATCACAGTCTCAAGCTATGACAAGGGAAATATAGGCTGGATATTAGGAAGAAGTTTTTTTACAAAAAGGTGATAAAGTTCTGGAATGTTCTGCCCGGGAAGGTGGTGAAGTCACCATCCCTGGAGGTGTTTAATAAAGCCTGGATGTGGCACTGGGTGCCAGGGTTTAGTTGAGGGGTTGGGGCTGGGTTGGACTCGATGATCTTGAAGGTCTCTTCCAACCCAGTGATTCTGTAATTCTGTGAATTAAGCAAAATGGAAGGTCCTCTAAATACACAAAGGTAAAACTGCACTACATCACAGGCTCTCTTTTTTAACAGAATGAAGTAATATTTAAAAATTATATAAATCACTCCTTATAGGAGAAACAAATGCATTTAGATATACAGTTTCTAACCTTCATTCCCCTACAGTCCTGCTACATTGGCTGCAAGGGTTACAGCAGCCATGGCTGGCAGTGGCTATGTCCTGGGCTCACTCTTAGACCTCACTGGACCAAACCCCATGTCCAGATAAAGTATTCCACAACACACAAGGAAGCCTGGAAGCAGCTGATAAAGAAGATGTAGAACTATACAGTTATTTCAGACCATTATGTGCCCACAGTAGTCACAACTTTCACCAAAGCTCTGAGATCCCAGAATGCCTGAGGAAACAACCAGACAGGCTTACACAGAACAAACTGGGTTAACTGTTTGGTGCAGAGAAACTGGTGAAGCATAATCATGAACTGGGAAGTGAATATGGGAAGGAAAAGAGCAGAGAGCAACAGCCAGTTTTAGATCAGCTTGGTGTGGAAAGTTCCACAGCTGTGCTCAAACCATTGCTGCTTCCAAGGGTTGATAACCCCCAATCCAGCAATCCTGGGCTGCAATTACCCGAGTCGGAGCGGGGCACCTCTTCCCATCTCGCTCGGCTCCAGCAGTGAAGAGGATTCCTCCAGCAGGTCTGGATCCGCCATCTGCTGATGATGCAATTCAGCCTGAATTCACAAATCAATTAATATCTAATGAAACCAGTTAGTGGCATGCAGGGAATGAGGAGCCAGGAGATAGTTGTGGGAGACAAAGAAAGAAAAGAAGAAAGGAAAGTAAAGAAAAGAAGAGCAAACATAAGACAGCAAAAAGAGGAAAAAGATGACAGAAAAGACAGCAAGAATCACAAATGGAAGGAGAAAAACAAGAGGAAAAATGGAATGGCTCAGCAGGGTTTCCATACAAGAAAGGCTTGAGGATTGTTGCAACAAAGGAGCTGGGAGATATATAAGTCTGAAGAAAGGCAGAATTAAAAAAAAATTTCAAGTTTTAAACACAAGTGATGTTCCCAAGAACCATTTTTAATGGCACAAACCAGAGAAACACACTTGAGTCATGTATTTCCACAGATATTAAATTAATTTTTCCTTGTTCACCGTATGGCTCACCATCAGACACAAACACTGCTTAGAGCAGGCCAGCAACATGGCTCATCTCTTGACCAGCAAGGCACTAAAACAGGACAGTTTTACAGTGTCCTTCTTTGCAACCAATTTGCAAGCTAAAATCCTTAGGAATATGGCTTTTAAGTGTCAGAAATTCAGGTCAAGGATGCTCAAAGCATATCCTCTTGTGCACCATCTTCACACTTGTTCAACCCCGCCTCACATTTAGCTCTACCTCTGCAGCTTATTAAATGAAATGCCAAAGATAACAAACAGTTCCTGAGCACAACCAGAGGGCCAAAGTCTACCCTCTGTGGAACGCAGGTCTTTCCCACAAAGTCACCATGGGAACTTGTTAAATCACACTGGAAGGCAGAGTTTGACCCAAGGACACATCACATCCACACACACAGAGCACAGCCTTGCAAAACCTGTGACAAGTGCAGTAACTTAGCCCCAGACTCTGTATGTGGGCAACAGTTGTGTCAGGGTGAAAATCTCCCCAACATTTTACCTGCTTGTCAAATCCAAGTGTTTGCCATATACAAGAGAGTTTTTGCAAGGCTGACACCAAAAGCAGCTCAACTGCTTGTACACACACTTAGGATGTTACACGAGGGAGGGAGCCCTTCACTCGGCTTGGAAAGGCAACACAGGAATTCCTCATCCTTTCAGCTTTAAGGAGACTTGTTGCAACATCAAAAACTGAATGGAAATTCAGTTCATAGAGAACACAACCAAAAATAAGAAAGTTTGGTACCTGAAAATGAAACACACAGACCAAACATCCCAGCAACTGTTTGACATCTCAAGTTCAGGATGTTGAAGAACAGTAAGTTACAATTGTTAGAGGCTTGTATTGTATTTCCAGTAACCAAGACACTGCTTGGGGTAATTTTTTGTGATGTGCAGCACATTTTAGCAGATGACTCATGAAAAAGGAAGGACAATGTGACACCTTTGGATTTGCCTCACCTGAGAGAAAGAATTTGTTATATATGTTTAATATTAGCTTGGCCCATTTGGGCTCTATGTCCTTTATTCAGGACAAGTCCTGCTTAGAGGGGGTGGAATTACAAAGCAAAACAGTTTAGAATAAATGTGGATTAGACTAATTTAACTTAAGGAAAACGTTCTTTTGCAAGGATGATTTGCATTACAAACTCCATGTTTCTTAAATTCATTTCTCAACAACTCTGATTTGATGAGCACAATGATTCTAGAAAGGAAATGGCACAGCAGCAGCAGCTCTGTGGCAGGAAAGATAACCAAAGCACTACTAGGGGATTTAATAGAAATAAAAAACTGAGACTCTGTGGAAATGGAAGGGCTATCCAGTTCCAGTCAGGAAAACAGGATTCTGGGAAATTTACTTTGAATATGAGGTTTTGTCAGCATTGAGTGAAATATCAGAGTTATTGTGGAGTAATTTTTACTACGTGAGGTCGTTCAGGACTGGAATCTCCCAAGCATTTCCATGACAGTAATCAAGAAGCATAATACAAGAACTTTCATTATTAAACATTTTTAAATTGCTTATTGATCCCCTGATCAGCATCCAGATCAGCACCTTTAATCTCCAAAAAGGTTCATTGTCTCCACTGGTGATTGCAGTCCTGCCCTGTGACAGTTCTGGATGCCCAGTACAAACCCATACAATTCAAGCCCCTTCCAGGTCACAAACAGGACAAAAATCAACGTTCACAAGAACTAAAAAGGATTCATGTCACCATCTATTAACCCAGAGCCAGACAGAAGTGACAGATGCAAAGCAAACAGAGAAAAGCAGATGGCAGAAGAGTCAGAGGGAGGAAGAAGGGACTGCATGCCATTAACCGTTACTTTTCCAGTCTTCTTTTACGCTCACACTCTAGGCAAAGCTCTCAGAGAAATCTCTCCAGCTCATATGGCTCTTCATAAGCAAGGACAAGAAGACTGAGAAAAGGAGCATAATCATCAACATGGTGTGTTGGAACAAGAAATGGCTGCTTGGGCTGGAATGGTCACAGGAAGAACAAGGGGACATTTTGCCACCCTCCCTCCCACCGTGTTCAAACTCTGGAGAGTGAATGCCCAGCATGAAGGAATTGGAGAGTCAGCCATTTCTTGTGCAACTCATTACTATGAATAACACAGTCTTAATTACAAGTTATTGTAGTCTTCAAGTGTTGCAAGTGCTGAGCAATGGCAGCATGGAGGAAGTTGGCCACTCTGGGATGGTGAGCAGAGGCAGCTCCGGGCTGCTCGGGGCTCCCCCCAGCTGTCTGCTGAGCACAGAGAGCTGAGACAGGTTTAAACTGTCCACACTTACATTTCACTGAACATCACCTGGGAGCTGTTCTGTTTGCTTTTATGTAGAGCAGCATATGTTATTTGGTGTGTTTTGTTTTATTACCACATGAAAGAGAAGCAGAACATATCTAAGCTTTCTGTGGCTGGTTTGTGTAAGGCTGTGGGTGACCTGCCATGCACTGTTTAGAAAACTGATTTTGATCTTTAAACTTAGCTTGATCCCACTGCACTTGAAGAAGAGCAGTGGGCAGAGAGGACAGTAATGAACAAGGCCAGGCTGGATGGGGCTTGGAGCAAGCTAATCTAGCAGAAGGTGTCCCTGCCCATGGCAGGGGGTGGATGGGGGTGAGCTTTAAGGTCCTTCCCACCCCAAACCAGTCTGGGATTCATTCCCAATATAGAAGTGCTCAGCACTTGGTTTTACATGATTCTCAGAACAGGCAGTGCTACTTTAACACAGCAAAGTAATGGATTATCAAGTTAAACCTGTTTGTCCAAGGGATATTTGTAAGTGAACATCCAACACTCGGAGACAAAGGGTTTTTATACTGAAATCAACCCCACAGCCCTCACACCAGCAGCACTATCTGTGTCAGCAGTGACTGTGACTGGCACAGGACCAATCCTGGTGCCTGAACAGGCAATACCTTGTGCCAAAACAACAAAAAACAAACTGTTAGATAAATGGCCTGAAGTGTGCAGGAGCCCAGCTCCACTTGACAATAGCCCTTGTAACTACCAGGAGCCATTTCCTTTAAGAGTTCTTTGATCAAATCCTGAGATTAGAGGAAACAGGACATCTACTCAGCAAAAACACGTCCTGAAAAACACACAGGAGCTCTTTGAGAGAACTGCCAAGACTCTTGAGATACCTCAGCTTTACAAGGAAGGGTTAGGTCTTCTCCCAAGCAGGATTTATGTCAGTGCCATGAATGACACTGGAGAAGCTGCTCTCAGGTCCAGTGAAAGTTGCCAGTTCCTGGCCCAGATGGCATTTGACAAAACGTCCAAGACTTTAAATGTCAGCTTTGCTCCACAACTGACCTCTGAAAGCTTCAGGGTTTGATCAAAGGCTCAATTACTTAATCTATTACTTCAGTGGACTTTGTATTGTGACCCTGATGAGTCTCCACATAACACTTTAAAGGCTGAAGAGAAATTCAGCTCCATTTGAAGTCCTCTGCACGTGCACCAAAGAAACTCTGATCCACTAGGGACAGTGCTCACTGTAGCAGCAAATTTTGGGGCTGTTGATGTGCTTTCAAAACTACTCACATCTTAATTATTTTACACAACTTTCAGACAAACCATTGCTTAATTAGAACAAACCCAAACCAGCACTGTGGGAGGTAAATCATGGAGGTAAATGCAGCTATGTGTACTGCATGAAAAATGGAAAACAATTTGTGCAGCTTTCTCAAACAAAGCATAAAATGACCCTGCTGTCCAAAACAGCAACTAAAATATATTTGAGAATAAAAATGGTAATTTCTGTGAGAAGAACCAGCTCCCCAAGTGTTAAACCCCACCGGTACTCTGACCTCATCAAAAAACTGCTGAGTTTTACGCAGTATAAACTTTAATTCTGTCAGCTCCAAGAAGTTTCTCTTCAGAGCCTCCTGGTTGGTGTTGATTTCTTTAAGCTCATTTTCAATTTTCTCAAAGTTTGCCTGGAAGATGTGAAAAGGAGAAAGAAAAAGGACTTAATTCCATAATGAAGTGCTGTTCAGTTTGTCAGCACACAGAGGCAAGTGAGATGTTTCACATCCCCACACAATTTGCATGGATTTACATCTCCAGCCTGCTGTGGCACAGATCCACATCTGCAGGCAGCTGCAGACTTCTCACACTCAGCCAGATTTTTATGGACTGGATTGACAGAGCTTCTTCAAATCAATAAAACTGTGATAAACTTTATGACCCACCACATAAATCATGTGGTTCCAGCAGTTTTTGGCTCATTTCAGTGGTGAAATTCCTACTGAGGACTCTCAGTTCTGTATTTGGGCAATGTGAGCTGGCAGAGCTGCTTCCAGGGACAGCTGGACACTGAGCTATTGCCCCCCTGCCACTAAATCCTGCAAGCAGTGACCCACAGAGACAATTCCCCCTGTTTCCACCCAGAATCAAATGGTGGTTTAAGTCTTGACACATCATTACCTCCAGGTCAATCATGTCACGTGGAAAAGGCACCTCTGGGTTTTCACCCGTGTCCATGATGGGAATATTTGCCTTTTTAATCTCCTTCTCCACAAACCCTGCCGAGACAGCATTAAAAATGTTAATTACAGGCATTTTAGTGTCAAACAGTTCCCCCAAGCTGCACCTGGTCCCAGCAGCAGCTGATTCCTTCACCTCCCATTCCAAGGTGTCTCTTTTGGCCAGAGTTGTATTTCCAGGGGGAGGTGAATCCCTGGAGGCAGCGAGCCCTGCCTGTGCCCTCACCCCTGTGAAAAATGTGTATTTTATGATTGGCTTTTCACAAATATTAAAATGAATATTGTATGTGTTATGTTAGAAAGTTATGCTGTATTAATTTTCTTAAGTAGTGTGTTAAATATAGTTTTAGGTTATAACATTATGTTAAAATAGAAACTGTGTGTTTGGGATATTTTTTTAAAGAAAGGAATGAGGCACTTGCACTGAGATAGCAGCCACAGGACACCTAAATCTTTCAGAGAAAAAGAATTTATTGCCCCATTATCAGAAGAAACTAACTTCTCCTGTCTCCTCAGCCCTGAAGATGCTGTCAGGATTCAGAGGAAGAAGCTGACACTGACCAGACAGACTTATTTGCTTGAATTGAATTTATGCATCCTGTATGAGGTGTATGAATACCTGTCTCCTTAGCCCCGAAGACGCTGTCAGGATTCAGAGGAAGAAGCTGACACTGACCAGACAGACTTATTTGTTTGAATGGAATTTATGCATCCTGTATGAGGTGTATGAATATGCAACAGGCTGTTGTTTTTAAGGGTTAATCTCTGTTAACGTGGGTCCTTATTCGGGCTTATTTTGCCCAGAAAGAGGTACCCAGACTGTCTGTGACTCTTTGTTCTTATTGTCTCGTGTTATCCTAAATCCTAGTTGTCCAAATTTTTATTATTCTAATTATATTGCTATTTTTATAAGCATTTTATTGCTATTAAACTTTTAAAATTCTAAAAACAAGTGACTGGCGTTTTTAACCCCCCTCTGTCCTGTTCCGAACGCAGCCCTGCAGCTTCAGCCTGCCTCCACTGTTTGTTTTTTATATTTTTAACCAAAAAACCCGCAGAGTCAGAGCCACATCCACCGCAGCGGGAACGTACGGAGCTTTCGGTCCATCTCCTCGCACCTCCGGACCTCATTGACGAATTTACGGTGGAACACGTTCACGTCGGGGTTCAGCTGCGGGCAGAGACACGGCACTGAGCAAACCCACCCCACCGGCCCCGGGGCTCCCGGCGCTCCCGGTGCCGCCACCGCCGCGGGGACACTCACGTCGCGGAACTGGACCTTGCCCAGCTCGCCCAGCTCGCTGACACAGCAGTAGGCGGCCTCGGACTGCAGGAACAGCTGCGCCAGGGTCATCTCCTCGCTGCGGAACAGCTCCCCCATGGCGGCGCCGCTCCCGCCGCGGCCTCTGCGGAGAGGCGCCGTGAGGGCCGGGCCGGCGGCCGGCACCGAGGCCTTCCCGCCGGGGCGGCCCCGACGCAGCGCGGCTGCGCCGGGAGCCCGGCCCGGTGTCCTGACCCCATCCCGACCCCATCCCATGCCGTCCCCATCACATCCAGCCCCGTTCCGTTCCCCGCCATTACCTGCCGCAGCCGCCGCCGCTGTCGCTGTCGCTGCCGCCGCCTGGCCCGAGCCGGCTCCCGTCCGTGCGTCACCGTCACGCGCACGTCTCCCGGCGACGGCGCGCGGCCCCGCCCCGGACGTGATGACGGAGGCGGCACCGCGGTGGGTGACGTCATGAGCGGCGGCGTGACGTCACGGCGTGGGTGCGAGGTCGCGGCCTCTGGCCCGGCCCGGCCCGGTCCCGGTGAGGCCCCGTGCCCGGCCCGGGACAGCGACATGCGGGGAGCAGCCCCAGGTCCGGGCGGCGTTCCGCTGGAAGCGAGCGGCTCCGGGCTGAGGCTGCGGATTGCCAGCCTTGGCTGCTCCTGGGTGTCCACACAGCAGGAAAGGGCTGAGTGAAGGTGATCCTGACACAGAAAATGGCTCGGATAACAGGATAACTGCTGTGGGCACGTCAGCCCCAGGAGCAGATATCCATCCTGAAGGTTTGTCTGGTTCTATCCAAGCTGACCTGCTCAGGCAGATTTTTAAAAATTATTATTCCCAAATGGACAGAGTGGCATTGGAGTCACGCATGGAATGGATGTTGAACACTTCAGATATCAGCTTTGCTCCACAGCTCAGCTCTGAAAGCTTCAAAGCTTCAGGCTTTGATCAAATGCTCAATTAATTCATCAATCTATTATTTCAGTGGAATTTGTGTTATGACCCCGATGGTCTCCACATAACACTTTAAAGGTTGAATTCAGAAATTCAGAATTTCTGAAGAGAAATTCAAGGAGCTCTGGCCCACGTGTGTCCTGTCCTGCACCTGAATCCCCACACATTTACCTATGGAACAGGTGACCCCAGGGACAAACAGCTCTGGGGCCCTGGGATGAGCCTTTTTCCCATGGAACTCTCAGCAGCAGCAGCAAACACTGGAAATAAACTGGAAAAAGCTTCCTCCGGGAAAGATCAGCGCACAGAAAGCAGTCTGTGCTCGCTGTGTGACACCACGGGGGGCACAGGGCACAATCCTGTGATCCCAGAGCCACCAGCTCAGTGGGGACAGGGAGCAGTCACGGGGCAGGGACACAGCAGGAAAGTGCTGACAGCTGCGGGCTCTGTGCACCAACAATGTCCCTGTGCATCCAGGGGTGGCTGGGCTGCGTGTTCCTCCCGCTCTGCCCCGGGCCAGCGGGGCTGGGAGGAGCCCAGGGCTCTCCCAGGGGAGGCTGAGAGCAAACCTGGCCTGGCAGGAGTGCTGAGGGTGGATATCCCGTGTCACAGCTGTACGTGAGGGCAGCTGCCACCTCCCCCGTGTGCCCCCAGCCTGCCCAAGTGGCAGCTCTGTCCTTGGAGCCAACCCCAGGACCACAGAAGGCTCTGGCCCAGGGTCACTCCCAAGATCTGGACTGTCCTTCTCCGCATTCCTGGCGCGTTCAGCTGGCTTGTTGCCGGGTCTGTGGTGGCACCTCCCGCGTGTCTCCCTGTTTTGAATAATTTAGGGTTTTTACCACTAAATCCACAAGTAATTTGGGCTTTGTTTACAGCAGTGTCCCGCATTTAAAGTCTGGTGAGTGGAGCTGCAGGAGGCTCGAGGATTGCAGAGCTGGGAGAGCTCCTTTAGGGGGAGTGCCCAGCTGCCTCGCTCAGGAGGGAATTATCCTTCTCCGAGTTAAATCTGTGTGGAGAGTGTTGCACCCTGCATGTACCGTGTGTGCCTCTTGCACATTCATGGACATGGGAGGGGGCATTCCTAAGACACAGACTTGTATCTTAGATTCCAGTCCACTTTTCATGCTGTAACTGCTGAATTCAAATTGTAGCATTTCTTTAAAATTATAAAATTCAGGCTCTCATAGTCCTGGGGAAAAAAACCCAAACCTAAGTACTGGCAAAAGGTCTGAACTTCCAGCTGAACCTCAGCATGTGCAGTTATTTAACCCAGCCTTCAGTGCACACAGCTGTGCCCAGATGGGGCTGCTTGCTTCCCGCTCTCTTCCCAGCAGCTTCCCGAGCCGTTTACTAAAGGATTTTGTTTTTTCCTCCTGTTACTTCAGTGCCTTTAGTCCGAGAGTAAAGCAGGGGCGGCTGCAGTTCCAGAGCTTTGCATTCCTGGCTGAGCTGTGCTTGTGTTTGCATGCAGAGCCACCGTCTCCCCTCCAACTATTTTAATCATTTCAAAAGGGTGGGTCAGCAGGCATTTGGCAGCGGCTCCTTTTCTATAGCTGAGGTGGAGTCAGCCAATGACCTGCAAGCCTGGAAAATTTTGCAGGGCAGTTCCAGTGGCCGGCTGTGCCTGTGCCATTTGAATTTCAGCACAGACTCTCACTCACTGCGCTCCCCATTCCTGGCGGCTCTCCCAGCGCGGAGTTGAGCTGAGGCTCGGGCTCAGTTTTCCCTGCTCCCTCCCTGCAGTGACAGCTTCTCCGGGTGAGCCAGGACTCCAGAGCGACCATGGAGGACACCACCTTGCAAATCATCGAGCCACCCACTGTTTCTGAGACCTCGGAGGAGCAAGCACCCGAGGAGCCCATCAAAGCAGACCAGATCAACGGCGTGATGGTGCTGACCCTTCTGGACAAGATCATCGGAGCGGTGGATCAGATCCAGCTGACCCAAACACAGCTGGAGGAGAGACAGCAAGAGATGGACAGCGCAGTGACCAGCATCCAGGGAGAGCTGACCAAGCTGACCAAGGCACACACCACCACCAGCAACACCGTCAACAAAATGCTGGAGAAGGTGCGCAAGGTGAGCGTCAACGTGAAAACGGTGCGGCAGAACCTGGAGAAGCAAGCCGGGCAGATCAAGAAGCTGGAGGCCAACGAAGCGGAGCTCCTGAAACGCAGGAACTTCAAAGTCATGATTTATCAGGTAAGGAGTTGTTTCATGATGTCTCTCCATCCTGTTAGTGGGTGTTTTCTCTGCCGAGGGTCCTGTCGCGCTGCATGTTCGGCCCAGCTCTCTCCCAAACTCCCCAGATTGTTTGGCAGTCCAAACTGAGGCGGGTCTCCCGTCGCTCTCATTTGTGGTTTAACATTTGCTGCGTGTCCTAAGACAAAGTTTGACAGAGTTGTCCCATTTGACAGGAATTTTAATGCAGATAGAGATCAATCGTGAGTTCTCAGCGCTAAGAACTCACTGCAATGGGCCAGAAGTATCAAAATAACCTGATTTAACTGCTTAGCTCAAAATAGTGCTCTGGGATCTGGAAGGGGGTGTTGCAAATCCATCTGCCAACGTGCCTTCTACCGAGAGACACCATGTGTATGGCTACGTGGGGAGCGATGATATTTCAAATTTGTGACATGCATCTGGTAACAAGTGATAGTAACCCCAGCCTCAGGGTTAATCTGACCAGGCAGGGCAGATAGAGCTGTCATAGAAAATCCAGCCCAGCCCCCTGGGCTTGGCAGTGCTCGGGGTGGCCTTTGCTGAGGGCTTGTACAATTCCCATCTTCTTTCTTCTGCATCCTGCAAGCCTTGAACCTCTTTGTTGTTTGGTCTCAGTAACAGCTTTGGTTTGCTTGATGTTCACCCCCTGCACTAAGTGTTGGAGTTTGCACTTAACATTAAACAGGAGAGAGAGAGAGAGAGAGAGAGGAACATGATTCTGTCAGGTGTCCTGCCTGGAGTTGGATTTCTGCATCAGAGCAAACTCTTCTATTGAGCCAGGAGAGAAAAGTGAGTGAAACAGTTAATGCTAGAGTTGAAAGCCTCTGGGTTAATAATAGCCAGTGCTAGGAACAAATGGAGAAGCTTCGAGTGCTGATCATGGGAAGAGAGAGAAGAAAAGCAGAATAAAAGGGAGAATGGTCCTTTCTGTGAGGTTTGAGGGTGAGTGGCTCATGACAGGCTCAGGGGTCAGACAGGTACCTGTGGGATTTCTGGGTTCAGAGCTTGAGCATTTGTTGTTTTATCACAACTGAAAAGCTGAAAGCCTGTTCAGATCATACAGGAAACACAACCAGTTATAGTCAGATACATGTGTGTGGATTTATTATGAGCTCTTTGTATCAATCTGTCCATGAAAAAATAAAATAGAAGCAACAACCAAAATGCAAAACGAGAGGAGTGGAGGGAATTGTTTAAACATAACATTCCATGTCAGTTACGGAAATAGGTAGGAAGTTGGCAAGGTCCAAGGTCCTTGGGAAGCATCCCAAACATCTGCAGGTTAGGGTTTCATGAGCAGTTTGTGTTGGTTTGCTGTGGCTTGTTGATATTCAGCAGAGTTTCTTTTTGAATATGAAAAAGCAATTCTGTTTCTAAAGGCTTGGGGCCTGCCCCTGCTGCTCTGGTGAGGACAGAGCAGCCTTGGAAAGAGTCCTTTGGCCAGGGGCTGTGCCAGGGACTTGAGGAATCATGGAGGCATTAGGGGAAGAAATTATTTGGGATATTTCCCAGCATGGAATTTAGTGTGAATTTGAATGTCACAGAGCACAGGTAAGGAATTCTCCAGGTTTGCAGCATGTGAAATGGATCTGTTTGTGCCTCATGGACATGCTGGCATTTCCATGGGAGTGGAGCAGACCCAGCCCCGGAGGGAAAGCATCCAGCACTGGGGTCCACCCTGGGGTTAACTGGGCAATTCCCTGTGCTTTCCTAACCGTGTCTACACTTAAAACCAAATAATTACAACATAACTCTCATCTAATTCTCACTTCTCAGACCCCCACCTACCGAAGTGTTTGTTGGGTATGTTACTGGTCATGTAATTAATTCTGCAGTGCTGAGCACATTATTGCTCCTCTCTGACTCAGGGAAAGCTACTTTTCCCAAGCTGGGGTGACTCCTGTGTGTTTCCAGTTGCTGTGGCAAAAAGTCCAAAGATTTATTAGTCTTTTGTTTTGGAGAACAAGAGATAAACTCGTCCTTAGAGATGTAAAAAATTCCATCATTTTTTACAGCAGCGTGGCTGTTTTCGGGTGAGAGATCTGAGCAGAGCAAGAGTCCTGCTCTAATAGGGTTCAATATTGCACAGTTCTGCAGTTGGATGAAATAAAAGAGGTAAAGATAAATGAGCTCTTTGCTGGTTCTTGATGTTTGATTATTCTCTCAGCACTGAGTCCTGAGGTTTCAGCCATTGTGGAGGGATTATTTCAGGAGTGCAAATAAGACCTTTTGCACCTCGGAGGGAAGTCAGGCTGCCTGTGAGAATTGTGTTTTGCTTGCTGTAGATTAGGAGAAGA